TAAGAAACCTCATACTCGCTGGCTGAAAATAGTGAATAGAGTTTTTTGAATTCTGTGCAAATAAAAATATTGAAAAAAAGTATAGAAAAGAATGTGTATATATACATGAGAAAAAAGAGATAGAAAAAGAAAAGAAAAAACAAAAGTTTTGGGGCTGAAAAAGAAAAAGGAAGAAAAAAATGTGAATGAGATTGTACGTGAAGAATATGTTTATGCTTATACCATGATTTTTCTGTTTTTTCAAATCTTTAGCTACAGTACTCCTTACTTATCCTTCCCTTGTCCTGACCCCATTACATCTTATGTAAAGACCTCCCTGATCTACTATGCATGTTACTTGACTGTGGAAAGTGATAATATAACTAAGTTTGTGGTAGTATTAATTCAGTGAAGATTTGAGTGAAACACTTATCCCCTACACACTTGAGTGACGAGTGCAATGATAATTCTAGTGAGGGATGAGTTTAGATTCAATTATCTATGCTTAATTGATAGATTTCTTATTGTGGTTTTATGACTTCCTTGCTTTTCAAAATTGCTTGATTGGATGCTTGTCCTTAGAGATTTGGTTTTCATTTTTAAGTCTAATCACTATGGATTGAGTCATTGTCTGAATCTCTTATTGATGATTCATTGAGCACATACTTTTGCATTTCCCTTATTCTAAATAATAAGTAAATCTGGAAATAATTTGTTAGATGTTGTTACGATCTGATAGATCGATCTGTCCAATCAGAGATTGATATGTTAATATAGGATCTGTTTGCCCTCTCTCAGGTACCTATAGGAGATGTACCCTAAAGATAAGCGGATCACTGTGCACTATAATATAACGCCATAGTCAAGACGTGGGGTGTGTGCACAATGACAAGCTAAGAGAGAGGGTTTAGAATGTGTGTACCTTGTTGGTTTAACTCCTTATTTATAGATGGGTTACCTGGCAGGAGTGGACTTTTGGGCCTATTAGGAGTATTTGGGGTCCAATTGTTGATCCATTGCTGCCGTAGTAGGATTAGTATATTTAATGAATATTTCCTTCATTCTCTCTTAGTTGTTAGCCCTATTTGGGCCTTCTAGAATGTGGGCTGCTTAGTTGTCTGGATAGGATCGTCATGAATAAAAGATTCTCTTCCTGTTTGTGTTGTCCTTTATTAGACCTTTTAGAATATATGTCTTTGAAAGGTCCATAACAGATGTCAATTATATTATGTCTTTAGGACCATAAGTATGCTAAATGATGATAAATATGGTTAAAGACATGGTGTATATATTATTAAATGTAAAAGACTTTATATTTTTTTATGATTGAGAGTGTTATTGGCTTAAAAATATATTGGTTTCAGGTTGAAATTATTATTATGGAGCATAGATGGATTAAAGAAGCCAAAGAAATCAAGATTTAAGTAAACTCATCCTCGCTGGTTTAAGCGAGCACGACAATATTACGTTTTGTTGATGCCACATATTGGTTTCAAAAGTTGTAAGGGAAACAAAAGAGATGTCTCCTAAACATGTAATTTACATTTGGCACGGAAAAAAGATTGTATCTGTTTAAGTCAAAGACATTACTGTAATCATATATTTCATATCTTAAACCCCTTTTTTTTTTTTGTTACTTTGCCACGAGTCACTCTGTGTAATGTTATCTAAGATAGTTAATGGAATATGTAATTTGACACACAGGCTCCATTGCAAGAGGCATCATTCGGTAAATATTCCAGTGATCAGTAACGTAAGATTTTACCATGATGATGTTTTACGAAAGGTCACGCTAATTGGGACAAACATAATGATGGGAAATCAGCATATGCTGCTTCAGACCAATATTCCCTTTAGATACTTTTTCGTACGTAGACATTATCATTGAACAAATGCCTCATATGCTCAATATCTTATTAAAAAGTACCAATTTATTTGCTTGCAAAAGCTTATTACGTACAATTTGACTATAAATGCCTGGAATAAGAGATGATTTTTTTACCAAAGGAATTAGTTCAATTAGTATATGTTTAATTCCACTTAAATAAAATCTTAAGTTCAAGTTATTGTAAATATAAAAAATTCTTTTCGGAGAGTCAACTCTACCATAACGTAAATATTTTTGACTTAAATATAATTCTCTCCCATGAAAAATATTTATAATTTATTAAGAAAAAAAGAACATGATGATTTTGGATTCTTCATTATAAAACTACTTTTTGTTTTCGGTTCTCACACTTAACAGCTTTACAGATTCAGGAAACCAGTTCTGAATCACGCTCAGAACCCTCTCATGCGATTTTTCCCTCAGGTTTCCTGGGTTCACTGGGGTGTTTGGTACAGGTAAAAAAAATTTTTATCAGGAAAATATAATTATTAGGAATCTATAAAAAAAGTGAGTTAGATATGAAAGTTAAAAAAAATATTTGGTTAGACAAAATATTATCAAAAAAATTGAGTGAAATTCCTGAATCTATATTTGATTGAAGATAAAATATTAATTGAAAACCAGGTTAAAATTACAAAATAACCTTTTACTATATTTTAGTTATAACTACTGTTGTTATTTCCAAGAAGAGAACTTGCTGGCCTTCCATGTGTTCTCTTGCTGTGCTGTGCCTGGTGAACCATTTATTTATCATCCCCATATCTCATGTCTACGAGGATAAAACTGAATGGGGCAAACGAGTTGGGTGGATATATTGTTCTGTTACAGAAGATATAGTGACTGGTTACAGAATGCACAACAGAGGTTGGAGATATGTGTACTGTGTTACAAAAAGGGATGCTTTTAGAGGAACAACTCCAATTAATTTGACATACAGGCTCCATCAAGTGCTTCATTGAGCAACAAGATCGGTTTAGAAAAGGGTAGTTTTGACAGTTTCTATTTTCACCATTTTCACTTAGCTGGTCATCAATGGAATGCCACTGTAGAAATAGGATTTCAGCACCCACTTTTTGGTCCAATTTTACATATAAAGCTAAATTGCTAGAGAAATTAGTTAGCTAGGCAAATTTTTGAAAAATTTGTACCAAATATGGACAACCTATTTACCCACTTTCGGATGCCTGGCAAAATTTTAAAATAACTTCTACCAAACACACCTTAAAGATTTATTTGAATAAGTTTTTTAAAAGTATTTTTATTAGATAATTCTTTTAGAAATTTTATATTTATGACAGAAAAAAATACTAGAATTAATTTTTTTAATTTAAGATTTTTTCCAAAATAATAATAATAATTATATGAATGTTTTACACTTTTTTTAATTAAAAATAACATTAAACAAACAGTCGTAGACTTCGGGTTAGAATAACAGTAAAGGTTCTTCACCAAAAGCTGATCCCTGACATTGATTTTCAAATGATTTATTGATTGTGTATGATCAATACTTTTAAATGATATACTAGTTTTTGTTGTTATCAGAATTAACTTAAAACCTTTCATTCCCTCCCCCCATCCATTACATTTCATACAAGCACATCCTATATATTTAAGTTCCAGCACACGAAATTAGTTACACATAAGTGTTTTTTTTTCCCCCTATCATTAAATTTAATTGAAGTTGATTTCTTTTTCCTGTCCAAGAAACATGGAACATGAAGTTGCTTTCCATTTCACAGCACCACCTTTACAGAACCTAGCCTTCAGGAGTGGTCTGTAATCCCATCTAACAAAGTGAACCGGAAGCTCTTGCCAGTAACAAGCCCTATTAGATACGGTTGGGAAAGGACAATTTAGGGCCACGTGATGTTTTCTACCCTCTTCACCTCATACATTTGTCCTAAAGCATTACAAAAGATAATATAATATAAAAATACTTATTTCATGTTAAATTTTTAACATAATTATAAGACATAACAAAACAAAAGATAAATTACATAACAAAAGTCTATAAATTTGTTACTCAATAAATTAGGAAACAACTTCTTCTCCCACCCGGAACACCACTTAAAATAAAAAATATCCAACTATTTTTTTCTCTTATCCGTAGTCCTCTTTATGATCCTAATTTTCTTCATTAATCATATTCGATCAGTTTTTATTTCCTACTCATCCTGACTCACCAAAACTCAATTATTTATATTGTTTGTATTGTCCTTGAATGTTTAATGGGTACCAAAAGCACCCCTAAACACTTTCCAAAATGGATTATTTTGTCCCTTTCCGCATTAAGTGGTATTTTCAAAAGAATTTCCTGATATACTTGTCCATCTTTTTTGTTTGTTATGTAACATGTACGTTGTTCAATTGCTAAGTAAGTAATTTTGCTCTTTTTACTAAAATAAGTATTATTGTAAAATTGGTAATACTTATTATTGTAAAACTAGGTATTATCAATTTTAAGATTTACTGCGAAAAAAATAAATAAGTAAAAGACTACAAACTCATAAGGAAGAAACAGTGGATCCAAAGAGAAAGAGCTAAAAAAAGGGGGCAAGAGCAGATGCTGTTTGCAAAGCTTAAAGAGCTCTCTCCAAAACAAGTACTCGAAGACATACCCACCTCAAGCCAAACTGCTTTTTCTATATGCCTTTTAGGCTTTTGTGACAGACTCAACTCTCATAGAAGGTAGAGCCTCAAACCCCAAGTTTTGCGAGTTATCAAATACCACCATCCCCACTCCTCTCCAAACCCCAAATCCAAACGAGGTTCAAAACAAAAAGGAAAAAACAAAGTGAATTTTTTTAAACCAAAAACAGAAAAAGAAAAAAGAAAAAAGAAAAAAAAAAATTCATCTCTCTGCTATGTGCTTTGGGGACTGCAAGTGCAAGCTTGGTCGCAGCTCTCAAAGCTGAAAAATATTTGCTGTATTCAGCTTACTACCCACTACCTCAAAAACCAAAACACATGCTCTCCCATATCCCCAACTCTTTTCATCATCATCACCCCCACCTCTCTCACAACCGCCACTATTTCTTTCTTTTTAACCTTCAACTCTCTTTCATCAACTCCTTTGAGCTTCTCCTTGTTTCTCTCAACTCAGAAAGCATTTGGTGATCTGTGTTGTCCTAAGAAACAAGCGAAAAAGAAAAAATGATCACGCTAACAGATTTCTATCATGTCATGACCGCAATGGTGCCACTTTACGTGGCTATGATATTGGCTTATGGTTCAGTGAAATGGTGGAAAATCTTCTCCCCTGATCAATGCTCTGGCATCAACCGGTTTGTTGCACTGTTTGCAGTACCTCTCCTTTCTTTCCATTTCATAGCTTCTAACAATCCTTACAAAATGAACTTACGGTTCCTCGCCGCTGACACGCTTCAGAAGATCATCATGTTAGTTGTTCTTGCCATTTGGACGAACGTAAGCAAAAGGGGTTGCTTGGAATGGACAATAACACTGTTCTCTATTTCCACCCTTCCAAACACGTTGGTGATGGGTATCCCTTTGCTCAAAGGGATGTACGGTGAGTTCTCAGGGAGCCTAATGGTCCAAATTGTGGTCCTTCAGTGCATCATTTGGTACACGTTGATGCTGTTCATGTTTGAATACAGAGGAGCCAGAATGTTAATCTCTGAGCAATTCCCAGACACTGCTGGCACCATTGTCTCTATCCATGTGGACTCTGATGTCATGTCACTGGATGGAAGACAGCCCTTAGAAACCGAAGCTGAAATCAAAGAAGATGGGAAGCTTCATGTCACTGTGAGAAAATCCAATGCTTCAAGATCCGATATCTTCTCAAGAAGGTCTCAGGGTCTTTCTTCAACAACACCTCGCCCTTCAAACCTCACCAATGCAGAGATATACTCTTTACAATCCTCTCGGAACCCAACTCCAAGAGGCTCTAGTTTCAACCACACTGATTTCTATTCCATGATGGCTGGTGGTCGTAATTCAAACTTTGGTGCCTCTGATGTTTATGGACTCTCAGCATCAAGAGGACCAACACCGAGGCCATCTAATTACGATGAAGATGCTTCAGCGGGTGCTAAGCCAAGGTACCATTATCATAGTGCTGGTACTGGTGGAACAGGAGGGCATTACCCTGCACCTAACCCTGGGATGTTCTCTCCCACTGCTTCCAAAAATGTCACTGCAAATGCAAATGCAAATGCAAATGCCAAGAGGCCTAATGGTCAAGTTCAAGCACAGCAGAAACCAGATGATGGGAATAAGGACCTTCATATGTTTGTTTGGAGTTCAAGTGCTTCGCCAGTTTCAGATGTGTTTGGTGCCCATGAATATGGAGTTCATGATCAGAAAGAAGTAAAATTGGCTGTATCTCCCGGAAAAGGTTCTTTAAAAAAAAAAAAAAAAAAAAAAACTTGTAAATCTTATAAGTTACTTCTTTTTGCTGTTTTTATTTTCCTTCTTTGTGTGGTTGATTGCTTGTGCCTTTTGGTGTTTGATTTTCAGTGGAGGATCATAGAGACGCTCAAGAGGAGTACCTAGAGAAGGAAGATTTCAGCTTCGGAAACAGAGGAATAGACAGGGAAATGAATCACCATGAAGCTGAGAAAGTTGGAAATGGCAAGCCAAAAACCATGCCTCCAACTAGTGTTATGACAAGGCTTATATTGATCATGGTTTGGAGAAAACTAATCAGAAACCCCAACACCTACTCCAGCCTAATTGGCCTAACTTGGTCACTCGTTTCATACAGGCATGTCTTTTTTCCCTTTCTCATATAAATTCCAGTAAAAAAACCATTGCATATGTTGCACATTTTCGTCTTTACAATACAATACATTCTAGTTTCTAGTTTCTTTTGATTGATAATGTTTTGGTGGGTGTTGTTCCTTGCAGGTGGAATATTGAAATGCCTGCCATAATAGCCAAGTCTATTTCCATATTGTCAGATGCAGGACTTGGCATGGCCATGTTCAGTCTTGGTCAGTATAGACATAGATCCCCTTCTTATCTTATAAAATACTTTATTAATAAAAAATAAAAAGAGAAATTAACTTGTTCTGACCTTTCTTTGCTTGAAAAAGAAAAAAGAGGGAACAAAAAATCTCTTCTGATTCCATGTTAAACTTTGATTATTATTATTAAATGCCTTGTTTGATAAAGAAAGCCAGCAAGCAGACTATTCTGTTGTTAATTGTTATACCTAGCGAAAAAGCAAAGTAAGGAAACAACAGTATCGTGTTAAGATAATAATATGCTGGTTCCTTTATCAATCTTTTCAATCTTTATGAACACTTTTTGGTTTTTGGTAAGCTTGTGTTGGTGGGTATGATGATGATAGGTCTTTCACAAAGGGGTGATTGACTGACAATAAGTTTGGGTTGTGGTGTGATATACTGATGAACATGGCATGGCATGCTTGTTCCCATTGTTTTGCTTATGATGCTTTATCATATGAATGACAGGACTGTTCATGGCTTTGCAACCGAGGATCATAGCATGTGGAAATTCCGTAGCAGCTTTTTCTATGGCTGTGAGATTCCTTACAGGTCCAGCTGTCATGGCAGCTGCTTCCATTGCTGTTGGCCTCAGAGGTGTTCTCTTACACGTTGCCATTGTTCAGGTATTTCTTTCTCTTTCTCTCTCTCTCTCTCTTCTGCTCCCTTCAACACAACCAATACAATATTGAACTCCACAAGCTCAAAAAATTCCACTGCATTAAATTATACATAATAGGTAGGCCATGATAAGCTATTTTATTGCTCAAATTAATTAAAGCTGCTAATTGGTTTAAACTTCCTGTTACTATGTCGATATGCACCATGCTCATCTTGGTTTCTGCAGAAAAAACTGAAGTTATGTGGAAATAACATTAATTGGGCTGTCAGGATTGAACACACATACCTCCTCCAAAAAAAAAAAAAGAATATACCCAAACAGGACTGGATAACAAACATTTGAAACTATAGTTGAATATATGTCTTTTTTGTGTTTGTAATTAGATAACAAACATTTGAAACCACAGTTGACAAGTTTGTTTAATTTTCCTTTTTCAAATCTGATTGTCAAAAAATACAGGCAGCTCTTCCACAAGGAATTGTCCCATTTGTATTTGCTAAGGAATACAATGTGCATCCTGATATTCTCAGCACAGGGTGAGTATAATTATATTTCGTGTTTTGCTAACAAATGACTTTGAAAACAAATTAAATAAAAAGTGATTTTTTTTTTTTGCTGAATTTTTAATAGATTAAGTACTTTATTTTAAATTCATAATTTTTTTATTTCTTTAATGATCTGCTGTTTTTAGTAAAACACCTATTGAAATAGTTCTCAATAAGAAATTTCTTTTCACACCCCACTTTTTTTTTTTTTTTTCATTCAATGAATTCCTTCTTTTAATGCTAACCATTGGAGCTTCGTGAATTACATGTAGTGTTATTTTTGGGATGTTGATTGCATTGCCCATAACGCTCGTGTACTACATCTTGCTTGGGCTATGAATGACTGAAAAGATGGATGGGTGATACTGAAGATTACATGTGGCATCCATGCAAGCTCGTTTGAGACTACTCCTAGAGCACGAGAAAAAAAAAAAGGTTCAATGAAATAGAAAAGCATCGCCATAATTGAATAGGAGGAATCAACGGATGAGTTTTTATTTTTATTTTTTCGAATGAATTATCCTTGCTTAGTGGAAATGTAAAATCATGTTTGTAGCTAATTTATAAAATGGCTATCTCGTTAAATTTCAAATTAAAACGCCCTCGGATTCCATATCACTCATCAAACAAAAAAGGAAAAGAAAGCAATGATAACTTCGTTGAAACTGGAACCGTATCATTTTTACCCATTATTTAAACTTCATATTGCTTTTACGTTTTACATTTTATTATTTGACAGCATCTAGGCAGCGGCCGAGCCACACCTATGCCAGCACGTGCCTTGGCACCATCTTTGTTTTAAATTCTTTTACTTATTACATATAAATATATAATTAATTATGATTAAGAGAGATTAAATTTATAATTTGGCATTACCTAAATAAATATAATTATATTTATGTTTTTTAATTAGAAAAATAAAACCCAATACCCAAACCCTTTTACCTAACCTATAAATTAAAATCACTTTCAAAACCCTAATTTGTGAATTATAATTGCAATCAGATTTTTTTGAAGCTTGTGCCTTGCTTCTTTTTTTGTCTGACTTGTTACACAACTTGCTTGCTCCTGTGAGGCTTCAACTGAAATAGTAATGGTTGTGGTTGGCTTCGGGCTTGGGCGCTTGCCTTGCAATTTGTATATCTATTAAAAATTTGTTTGGTGTTTTGTGCTTTTAAGAAGGTGATTGTGTTTTTTCTTTTTACCGAAAATGTTAGTGCATTTTCATATGTTTGTTTTGATATATAATCATTGACATTTATTCATTTGAATTTTCAATATTATGTGACATTATTTAATATATAATTTAAATAACAGAAAAATATTTCTTCAGTTACTACATGTCAGTTATCTGTATTTATTTTCAAAACAACTTCGTTTTTGGATTGAAAGATTAAAAAATTATGATTATAAAGACTATAATAACATTGAAATAAATTAAAATTACAAAAATAACATGATTTTTGCCTCAAAACAATGTCGTATTGGACTTACTGCAGATAACTTATTTGCAGTAACTGCATAAAAAGCGAACCCTTTAAATAACTATGTTAGAATTCATAATATATTTTTTTCTAATTAATTTATGTAATTATGATAAATATTTTGATAATTTGATATGTTAAAATTTTTTGGCACCACCTAAACTTTTCCTCCGGCTCCGCCACTGCATCTAGGGAAAGCAAAACAGAAAAATGAAAGGAAAGGATAGGATAGGTAAATAGTCTCGCCCATCTTAAGATAAATTTAAGATTTCTAGTCACTTAACTATAAATGTGTATCTGTACCCAAACTCAACGTTTCTTTGGACATACTTGCACGTTTTTTTCCCTCCCTTCTTTACTTAATTAATGATATGCCGCTTCACCTAAATTGTGGGAATTACCATATAACAATAGGAGAGTAGATTTTAAGTTGTAGACTAAGATCATTCTAAATATGAAATATGAGACTTGAACAATATATTTTATGCGTTTGGAAGTACATGATTGTAGTGCTAAGATGGACCCCCCGTTACGTGATAAGGGTTTGATTTGATGGGGACTGCTTTGGAATATTGGGAGACAACATTCACAATCTAAAGTTTCTCATCCTTTTTCTCTCACTCCTTTCTTCATATCTATATTCTTTTAGTTTATACACATTGCCTTTATGTGAAACCTTTCCTTTTCAGTCTACGGTTCTATTTGGTGCTTCGCACGACTTCCTCTTGAACCCTTGTAAACTGGAATAGAAGCGAAGCATAAATCTGCCCCATTCAGTTAATGTTTTTCATATGATTTCTACTAATTCTAGTGGCTATTAAACATACACGATGCATACACAGTTGCTTATTCATTTTAAAGATAAATTCACTTAAAAAAAAAACCTCGTATGCATTAATGTTAGGAATTTTGGAGTAGATTGCAATTTGCAACCATATATGAGCCAACCTGACACAATCCAATTACAAACAAACAATTCAGCAAAACTCGAATCACATAACTAACGTGAGGAATTAATTGGAGGATTTTGCTTAATATATAATAATTATGAGGTTTGAACCTATAACCTCATATAAATTAATTATATTCTGTTGTAAATTTAATCGTGGAGACACAAGTTAACAGAAGAAAATTTACAGGAGGCACAATAATTTTTACTTGTTCAGAAACTTTGTTGAGATATATAGTCCCACATCGGTTGTATGTGCAACTAATGTGGTCTTTATAAGACCTTGGGCACTCCCACTCCTTGAGCTAGCTTTTTGGGTGGTGACCTCAAGGTTCTTTACATGGTATCAGAGCCTCACCGTCCCCCGCTTTAAAAAGTGGAATTAAAAATAAAAAAAAGCACAAAAAGGTAAACAAAAAATGGGCCTGTGCAATTTCCACGCTTCTAGCCTAAAAAGGCTCTTGCGTGAGGGAGCGTGTTGAGATATATAATCCCACATTGATTAAATGGGCAACTAATACGGCCTTTATAAGGCCTTGGGCACTCCCACCCTTTGAGCTAGCTTTTGGAGTGGTGACCTCAAGGTTCTTAACATGTTGAGATATATAGTCCCACATCGGTTGTATGTGCAACTAATGTGGTCTTTATAAGACCTTGGGCACTCCCACTCCTTGAGCTAGCTTTTTGGGTGGTGACCTCAAGGTTCTTTACATGGTATCAGAGCCTCGCCGTCCTCCACTTTCTCTTGTGGACTTTCTTAGCACAGGTAGGCTGGGCCTGTTGCATCTTCCACTCTTCAAGCCCAATGGGCTCTCGTGTGAGGGGGCGTGTTGAGATATATAGTCCCACATCGGTTGTATGTGCAACTAATGTGGTCTTTATAAGACCTTGGGCACTCCCACTCCTTGAGCTAGCTTTTTGGGTGGTGACCTCAAGGTTCTTTACAAACTTGTTATTAGCAAGTTTCCTACATCAAGGACAAAGGGCTAAAATCCCCTTTATCAGCTTGCATTAAATCAGAACCCCAATACAATGTGCAAAGACATAAAGCATCTACAACTCAGAATCAAAAGCAACACTCTAAAGAACAACACCTAAGAGATCTAAACATGCATCAGATTACAAGAACGAAAAGAAAAACACACACTGGCATGTAATATCACACAAAGTATCAGATACCCATGCACCAGCTGAACCAGTGAGCTTCTACGATCTTGGATTAAAGTCACCAAGTCCCAAGCGAACAACCCAGCCGCTCCTGATCTTGATCTTCAATCAATCCTGCAAAAGAGAACAAGAAAACAGAGGTGCACACAAGGAGAAGAAGAAGCACACAGGTAATCACAAGATTAACCAAACCGAAGGGGTGATTTCTTGATGAAATCAGCAAACCCTATGATAGGGTTTCAGAGCGCTTTTGAACGAGAGAGAGAGACGAAGAGAGAGATATTTCAATCGGGTAGAATGCAAGTTGTTTCAAAATAAAGGATATCAGTTTTGTATATATGAATAAGCAAAATTGTAGCGTTTAATTAACAAACGTAAAACGACATGAAGGAGAGCAAAACACAAATGGATTAAAAACTACCCAATAACCCCTGTTTTTAGGAATAACAATGAAGTCCACATATTCTTTATTACTAATCCACGTCTAGTGCCTTGTAATTGGATGATCTCTCCATTTTAAAATTGGATATCACGCTAATGATATAGTGTACTTATGCAACTGTAGAATGACATTTGAACCCCTAAAAGGGTAGTTTAATATATAGTTAAAGTATTGAACACTTAATCTAAAATGCTAAATCATAATTGTTTAAATTAATACAGACGAGGTAAGAATTATGAACCAAAAAAGTTTTGTTGTGTAGTCTTCAGTTGAAAATTATTTATACATTTCGTTCATTCTCAAACTAAAACATAATGTATAATAACTTCATTTAAGCTTTAGAAAAACATAAATAAAACTACTTAAAAATTTATAAGATTTTTACAAATAAAAGAAAAGCTTTTGCAAAAATATGATCAAGTTGAAACTAAAAATACATATCAATTTCTCTCTCTCTCTCTCTTAAATCATCTTTGCTGAAAAAAAATTTACATCTCCTTCTTTTTCGAAATTGTAGGATTCATTTCGATATTCATATATATAGAGTTCCAATTTTTAAATTTTTAACATTAAATTTATAAAAAATTATTAATTCGTAAATTTTTTATAATCCAGTAACAAAAAAGAAAAATTTACAAAATTTTTATTAAAATGTATAAATTGACAAAAACAATTTATAAAAATTATATTAAAATCATAAAATCTAGACAATGGTGGTCGTGTGAGCACCAAAAAGAAGCGACGTTCATATTTCATTGAGTTAAATGACAAATCACAATAAATAAATTTGATATTATATCTCAAACCAAAATCGGAGATCCCAAAATAGCCCCACACAAAAAAACCCTTCATATTTCAATGGGCTAAGGAGACAAGGGCTTGACATCACATTTTAACAATTACAACAAAATCCAAAATTTTAAGAAATTAAATTCATAATTCCTTCTACTTATACAGTCATCAGTTCATCAATTCCTAACCAATTTTAAACAATAATATATTTTTTTTGATACGATGATAACACTGAGATTTGAATCTATAAGAAAATTATTAATCAATTCTAATGACTTGTAGGTGGCGGCTTTATATACGTGTGGTTTCGAAGTTAATTTTATGGGCTGAAGTCTTTTCGGTGTTTACATCGTACAGAGGTTGTGCTAAGTCGTACATGTTAGCTGCATGCGTCAGCAGTACTTATAGCATCGAGGACATATGTTTGAATTGAATGACACAGTCCCTACAAGAAGATAGCAGATGCGTATGAGAGACATAAAATGCAATGTAATAATAAGATGTCAACGTTTCATTGTGCATTATTGTTCCCATTTGCTTTCAGTCTTTCACTGAGTTAAACCCCCAACTATCTCATTGCATACATCAAGAGGATGAGGTCAAAATGCCCCTCCATAATAGAAATTGTGATGACTCAGTAATTTGGTGACAACAACTTCTGTCGTTGCTT